TCATACCTCAGAAACGTGGGCATTAGTAAATTACTAAAGTATTTCACAGGGACGAGAAGAATTCAAACTCCGGTGAGGAACTGGTATGAATTGTTGTTATTTTTATTATATGTTTTGAAGTTGAAAAACTAAAAAAAAAAACTAGAATTAATTTCTTCTGATTTTCACATGAGCTGACACGTGATCACAGTTGAATGAATGAAATGAATTCAGAATCAAAGTGTGTAATAGTCGGTTTAGACACATTTAGGGGGAGTTGGATTCTCTAAAATCAAAAGATTTATTAAATTATTTTGGTTACATCGTTAACTATAGTAATTTTTTGTTACTCATTCTTGCTTAATTAATCCGATTATGATGAAATGGAGTCTTATTAAACCCAAAAATAAAAACTATAAACGTTTTAAATGGTCTCAGATTGATGTTTACTAAAACAATTTATCGAATTTACAGCCCAATAGTAGAAAACACAGGCCCATGCAACAACAAGAGTAGGCCCATTCAATCACAAGACAGGACAAAGAATTTCTTTTTCCCCAAGAAATCAGAGAAACCCTAACTTTCCGATCATGCCGTCGAATCTGAGATCTGTCTTTGCTCAGGTACACGAAGATCTGGTTATGAATGATTATCTTATTTTTCTTTTGTTTGTGCGATCGATTAAGTGATTGAAGAATTTCTTTACAGTAATTTTCTTCACCGCCTGGTAACGTTCTCTCTATCTATCGAAATCCCGAGTCGCGATTAGTTATGTATTTTTGTCAATTTGTGATTGGAACCGGAGAGACAATTGGCGTAATGCTCTTTCGTCCAGTTGCAGGACTGACTCTGGGAGCTTTCTTAGGTATGGAGAGTGATTGAGATTTGTCAATTTTTCTTCCTCGAGATTTTGATCTTTTTTTTTTGGTTTGAAGCTTATCTTAAGTTTGGCGGTAAAGCTTCGGAACTTGACGAGAGGCAGAAACAGATAAAATATACAAATTAATGACCATTGTTTGTTATTTCATGTTTATCCTCCCTTGTTTGTGTTTTTAGTTATTGAGGGAGAATGAGGATTTCTTCGAGGGATCTGAAAAGAGCTGGTCTGGTATGGTGTCTCGAAGAAGAAGACGATCCTGACACTTTTGTAATTTGTATCTGGTGATTGTGGTGTAGTCAGAGACATAAATTGTGGTGTTTGTCTTTTCGAAAACCCTATTTATCCTGAAGCTTTCACAATGAATCACACTAAAAAAATATCTAG